CCAAGGGCCTTCTTGCTCTGAGGCAATAGTGGTACACCAAATGAGGTTTTGAAAATACAAGTATCTGAAGAGCACACTGTCAGTTTATACAGAATGGTCATTTATTGGATTCAAATGCAGTTCCAGAAATGACTTTTACATTTAGAAGGCATTTGACAGCAGTGCCCACCTTCCTACTGATGCACAGCATCTCTGAAAAGCAGCAGTATCACATACTAATGGCTGGTGTTTGACAGAACAAAGTCACAAGTAAGAGTTTACAATGTTTTAGTTATATCAAGAACAAGTATCATTAAAACAAAAACCCCAGAATAATGAATACGCAAATCAAAAATCACACAATCGTGACGTCCTCAGAGGTTATCTGCCATCAGATCCTTCAGTCATACTGCAGTCGATATCCGTTTTGACCAAGCTTCGTCGCACAGCTTATTTGAGCCTTGGGTCAGCTGTCGTGGCAGACTCAATCATTGTGTCACTGTCCTTCAAGTCAGATTGGTCCACAATGATTAGGGGTCCCAACACAGAATTGTGACTCGGGCCGTCTGATGCTGCAAGGAGAGTTGAATTCATGAGTGGAGAAGCACAGCCTGCTTCTTTAAATCAGATGTCATTTGAATCCCTTTGAAAGTACAAATCTGATAGCATGCAGTCACATTAAAGACACATGAGGTTACCCCATTCAACACCCCTCCTGGACCGAGACTTGCAGCTCAAGTCACAGCAGTTACAGAGGGAGCTTCGTGATGGGTCATCAAGCAGCTCCCATCTGGAGACGGGGACAAAAAGAAAAGCAGTCATGTGGAGCATAACTTCCATATTCAGCAAGCAGTGTTCAGCCTGTTAAATGAGGAATTAAAACACAAAACCTTGTAGTTCAGCAGTATGAAATACAGTTTAGTGAAGTACAATTTTGCTCAAGAAGAACACTTCAACACTTTAAGTAAATCTCTTTTTTAAGCGCTCAGATGCTAAAAAGCTTATTAAATGAGTCTAACAGTAATGTCATTTCCATTTATCCAGAGACTGAGGAAAAAGGTCAAAACTTGTAAGTACAAGTTGTTGAACTCAATCACCTGTTAGTTCCCTTTATATAATGACAGGCCTTCTTGCTTTCGGCAAAATTTTGAGGATCCCACACAGCCAGTTTACAGTGGATGTACACCTGAGGAACACAGGGCTCGAATTAAAGTTCCTTTAAATATTTATTCTTGAAATAATTTAACCTGTTCTCACCTCTCCAAAACCAAAGTTGAAGGACTGGAGGTAGAGGATGATGGAAGACGAGTGGTACCGAGGCAGAAACATCGAGTTTCCTTTTTTGCTTTCTAAAAGACACCTGGAGAAATTGGTACGTCAGATTACCAATACGCATCCCTTCCACTACACTGAGTACAAAGTCTGAGCAGTACTGGAACCCTACCCCTTGTTGCCAATGAGTGGGTAAACCTGGCTGCCAGGCCGCAGCTCAGCTGTGGGGGCTGCGACACATTCCTCCATGAGCAACAGCAGTGGCTGATGAGACTTCTGCTCCACTGCTGCCCATATTGGCATGGGGGAGCCCAGAGGAATGATGTTCGTCGTTGCTATGCTTGATAGCTCCTCTGTGGAAAAGTAAATGCTAAGTAGTGTGCGTTTTAACATGTGCTCGTAATTTGGCATGGTGAGAAGTTACCATTGAGAAGCGCCATGTGGAAGACCAGCCTGCCGTGACCCTCGGAAACCCCATATCCAGGGTTCACGAATCGGGGAATCCAATCCTTGGGTCTGAAATAAAAAATATTTAAGAACGGCACGATTCTACATTTCATGCAATTTCAGTTTGAGAAAAAAAAAAAATATATATATATATATAAGTGTCACAAACCTTCTGTAAACACATTCAATGGGATGCACAAAATCTGGAGGGTTTGGCTTTGCCTGTGGCCTGTAGCTCATTTCATTCTGATAGAATATGCGTTTTCCCTTTACCTGCAAGAGGGGAAAGCAAACAAGTGATTAAATTAGAGCTCACAAGTGAGTGGAAGCTACTGAAGTTGCATCTCTCAGGGTACAGTACCATTTTAGTAAACTTGCACTC